CCATAATAGATGGAGAAGAAATTGAGATTGTTAACAATGTCCGCTTGCTTGGTTTCATAACCATACTCTTGGCACCTGCAGTCAGGACATCAACAGACTAATTGCACTGGGAAAATCTGCTGTCAGGGACTTCTCCGGAGTGCTAAACAGCAATGATGTCACTTTGGAGATGAAGGTGCACTTGTTCAGGCCATGATATTCACAATTATTTGCTACACATCAGAAAACTGGACAGTGACTAAAGATGACAGAAGAACAATTGATGCTTTTTGAGTTATGGTACTGGAGAAGAGTATGGAATGCCAAGAGAATAAACAGGTTTGTCCTGGGCAGGGTGAAACTAAGTTACTCCTCAGTAGCAAGGATTTTGTAGCTCTGTCTCACATGCTTTGGGAATGCCCCAGGAGGGACTGGTCCTTGGAGAAGTGGAGAGACAGCACAGGAGAGGAAGACCCTGGATGGGATGGATTAACACAGTAACTGGAATAGTGGGATAGGTGCTTTAGAGATGACAAGATTGGCTCTGGCTAGGACAGGTTTCAGGGCTATTATGCATAAGGTTACTATGAGTCTCAAGTAAGTCAATGACTCGTAACAACAACAAATATAAAGTACCTAGAGGAAGGCGGCTCATGTTCTAATGATGATAATCACTGTTGGAGCTTGGGGGAGAGCAAAGGTGGGAAACTGGGAAATAATTGTGTGATCCCCTTTGGCTTTTGTCATTGTTGTTAAGTGCCATCGAGTTGAGTCACTTGAAACGCATAGCGCTTGCAACTCATAGTGACCCTATGTACAACATCCCTAAACCTTGCTCTGTCCTGTGCCAATCGCATTGCCTCTGATATACCCATCCCGATTTACCCCAGTCACTGAATCAATCCACCTCATAGAGGGTCCTCCCCTCCTGCGCTGTCCCTCTACTCTACCCAGCATGATGCCCCTCTCCAAAGACCTGTCTCTCCTTACAACATGTCCAAAGTATGTCAGGCAAAGCCCCAGAATCCTTGCCTCCAAGGAGCAGACTGATTCAACCCTCTCCAGGATGAACCTGCCCATTTTCTTAGCAGTCCATGGTATTCTCAATACTCTTCTCTAGAACCACAGCTCAAAGGCATCGATTCTCCTTCTATCCTCCCTAGTCAATGAAGAGAACAAAAGTCCGTCCAAGTTTGCTTAAAGTGCATTTTGGTTCAAATGAAAAATTTAGGAATGTGTTTGAATAGTTGTTGTGGTAGAGTCTCAAGTGGTGGTTAGCCCTCTAGGTGCTCCTTCCAGGATTTGTCATGACAACAACAACAACAACAACAAAACGCGAACTCACTGCCATCCACTTGTTTAGCACTTATCACATCCCTCTGTCCGGGTTTCCGTCTTTATGGAAGGAGACTCCTTATCATTCTCCTGGTGGATTTGAACCACTGACCTTTCATTTTATTCAGCAGCACAACACACGGTAAATAACTACGTCACCACTGCCCCTTAGAGTTAATAAAAGCCTTTCTTCTTTGCACAACATTTTCTCTGTTCTTTCTATTCCTGAAAGGATTTGGTCAAAACAGCAGGATTTTAGACCTTTGGATCAGAAAACACTGGCTTACCAAGGGAACTTGTGTGAATCACCCCCATCTTACCTGGGTCACTTCTTTTTGCACATTGCTCAACCCACTGATTTTTAGGAACTGATTTGAAGCTCTTAGTACTATTTAAAATGCTGAATGTATCCATAACCCCCACACGTAACAAAGCTCTTTGGCAAAAACCTAATATTTCGAATATCACATGTTTTATAACATTGACATAGACTGAATTCAGAGTCATGATGCTTATGTTTCTGTAGTGAATTTGAAAACCATCAGTCACTCAACTTGATCAACTCACCAAACTTGCATGAGTCTCTGTTTCTTCATTTGTGAAACAGAGAAGCATGCCAGCCCTCTGTCAGGTTTAAATTCTGACGTTTAACTTGTTTCCCATCGTTCTTTTGTTACTACTGTCATTTACTGACTCCTAACGTTTTCTCTCCTAAACCTAATTGCTGTTAAGTCTGAACCCACTCATAGCTGACCATCGAGCAAGCTTTCAGAAAACATGAGAGGAAATTGCCCATCTTTCTGCGTAAGAGCAGCTTGTGGCTTTAAACTGCCGGTCTTTGGGTTGTCAGCATAACTCCTTACGTACTGTTCTGCCGGCTAGATTATGCTCTGTCTAATTTATCTAAATTCTGTTCTTATAGAAGCCCACATACGTTTTCTTATTCTCTGAACTATTATCATACTTTGCCATTCAGTTTATCACTTCATTTTGTATATTTTTTTCTTTAGTTGTTTGATATTAATCTGTTTTCTTTTATGCTGAGATCATATGATTAAGATCCAACATTTGTGTCTATTCTTTATTATCTTTATTGGAAAATAGGTTATATAGCAGAGGCCTAATGAACTTTTGAAAAATGGAATGCGATGTTTTAAGAGACAATAAAGTTGACTGAAATCTCAGAACGCTAGAAATTTGTTGAGTTGTGTTGTATTGATTATGCAAATGCATTTGACTAAGTGAATCCAAACAGATTATGGGTAAGATTACAAAGAATATGAATTCCAGGACACTTAGTGGTATTAAAGCAGAACTTGTTCACAAAGAAGCAATTACTGGAAGAGAACAGGAGGGTATTGAGTGGTTTAAATTTTAGATATGCCGCAGGTTTATATCCTTTCACCACACCTATTCAGTCTGCATGCTGAGCAAATAACTCAGGAAATGATTACATATGTTAAAAAAAAACACCACAAAACAGCCTCAGAACTGAAGGAAGACGTATTAAAAATCTGTGATAAACACATGTTATTACTCGCTTACTGAAAGCAAAGAGGACTTCAGATAAATCTTGATGAAGATCAATGACTCTAGTCTTCAGTATGAATTATATTTCGATATAAAGAAAGCCAGAGTCTTCACAACTTAACCAATAAGAAGCTAGTGAGTTCAAACCATCTGCCTTTGTGTTGGCAGCACAACTCCTTACCCAGTAGGTCACTGAACTCCCTAACAATATATAAAATGTACATTAGTAGTTTAAATCTTGTAAATTTAGGGGTGAATGTGTTATCGTATGCTTTACAGTTCACAGTGAAATATGAAGTGTGTTAAATCAAACTATTCACGAAATACCAACATCTCTTTAATAATAAGTCCTAGTTGCTTTTAGAAGCAATCTAGTGGACCAGAGGAAAAGGTGTGCATGGAACCATTGCTTGCCTCAGTATTTCTTAATGATTTTTCAAAAAATGAAATTCTGCTAGAAAAGTAGCAAAAGTACATACTGACTTTTCACTCTGTATTAAAAGATTATTTTCATCAAACTAATTTCTCCTTTTTTATAACTTGTCACTTCAATGTACAAACACTGTGATCTTGACTCAGAGGGACAGAGGACATGAGACTCTTCTGTCAAATCAACGCAAGAGGACTTCATGACATCACAACAAACTGCAAGAGCATCAGCATATTTCTATCAATTCCCCTTGCCCCCAAGTCCTCCAGAGGTTGTGCATTGTGCAGGTTGGTGATAAGGACACACACACACACACAGAGACAGATAGAGACAGAGGAAGACATACAGAGAGACAGAGACACAGAGCGTGAGACAGAGAAGAGAGGAGGGGAGGTGAGAATAGGGAAGAGGAGAGGGAAGAAAGAGAAGAAAGAAGAGAGAGACACAGCGAGAGAGCGAGAAAGAGAGAAAGAAAGGAAGGAAGGAGGGAAGGAAGGAAGGAAGGAAGGAAGAAGGAATGAAGAAAGAATTGTGTCTTAGGAGATGAACTTTGAACTATAGAGCCTGAGTATTTATAATGGGCAGAAAACATTTGTTATTTATCCCAGATAAAAATATTCTCTTTATTATTCTGGCCAGGAAGCATGCTTGCCCTTTGCTCCAAAGGGAGACATTATCTCTCTGTTCCAAGGCTGTTTGATATGCAAACATCTTTGAAAAGATCTTCTGGAACAAAGCGCAGGCAGAGCTCAGCTTCATAAGAAACGCAGAGATGCTAAACTTACATTGAACATTGTTTCCCACGAGTGCCATACTTGACTTAACATAATGAACAGGTCAAAGCTGCGTGTGGGAGCTATTCGGGTAAAGCAACCAAGAGCTATTCTGATAGAGCAACTTTGCTTTCACTGTACAAAGCTGTAGCATCCCTCTGTGTATGAGGAGAAGGTCAAATAAATCTTTCCAGTTTGGGCGTAAATCATTATCTGAGGAAAAAGAATCTACGACAGAGAAGTTTCACCTAAGCATGAAGGCCAGAATAGTTGGTGGAAAGAGAACCGCTGGCAAGTTACCTGTTGGAACGTGTAGATTTGGCAATGGAAAGGCCATCCTGACAAAAGGCCCAGGACTGTTGTCCTAATTTGGGAAGAGAGAATTTGCTATATTACTGTTGGCACTGGGCATTGGGGAAAACAAGATCAATCATTTCAACCTTAGCATTTTGTGGCTCTTGGCAGGAAGCAGAGTTCTGTCTTCTCACACATTCTAGACCAGTCAACATTTTAATAAGCCATGGTTTGGACAAGAGCTGGACTGTTGGAGCACAGGGGAGGGCAGACAACAGATGGCCAGAAGGCTTGTTTGCCTGCATCAGACCCAAGAGGAAGAACCCAGGAATTGGACCAATTACTTATCTTACCATCTCTGAAACCCATGTGACCATTATGATTAATAGTGTTCCCTGCCATGTGTTCCCATAGAAAAACCTAAGACATAATTCTAGGGTGGAAGAAAAAATTCTAATGCAAAATTAGCCGTAACTTCTCACTGTGCGTTTTTTAATGGAAGATGGAGTTATTGAAGCATTTCCTGGGTGTTGGGTTATGCCAATGCAATCCAAGTGTGATTTTTAACTTTCCTTTTTGAAACAGCGTTATTTTCCTAGAATCTTGTAAGAAATAAAGTTAACATGTGCATTCCTCTTTTTAATTTTTTTTTTTATCAGTTTTTTACAATGCATCCTTAGACGCTATCATTTCCAGTACAACCAGCAATTCAAACTCTGTGGTGCTCGCTTGGAGAGAGAAATCAAAAAAACATCTTCAAATGACATCCTTCAACATTGCCCAGGGCATTCATGCCTTTGATTACCACTCCCGGCTCAATTTAATTGGTATGTAAAAGAAGTCGTGATAACTCCTGGTCCACCTTGTTGCTTTATTGCCAGAGAGTAACTTGAACAGCTCTCTTTTAATTGCCTGAGAATCTCTGATAATGATGGATGAGAATGTAGGGTGCATGAACTACTTGGGGGTAAAAATATGAGCAAGGCCTGAAATGGCTTAGTGAGCCTTTCTTATTAGCATGAGGAGGGTATAAAGTGAGAGAGAAAAGACAGTTTGTGCTGCATCTGCCAGCTGTTCCCTCTCCTAACATGACCAGATGCTCAACTCAAACTCATATATAATTTTTATTGAACAACCCACCCCCCCAAAAACAAAACAACAGTAGACAACTCAAGTCATTGATGTTGAGTCTGAACTGACTCCACTAACATTCCAACATGTTTTCAGAGGTTGTAAATCACACAAGGAAGAAATTGTCTTTCTTCCGAGGAACAGCCAGTGAATTAAAACTGACTTTGGGCTGACAGAGCGACTCTATGCTCTAAGCCACCAAACTCCTTTAAGCAATAGTGATTGTGTACTATCAAGTGAGAGCCTATCCATAGCAGATTCTACAGTGAGCTTTAAAGGCAGTTAATCACGTGGAAGGAGATTGCTCGTTTTTCTCCTGCAGAGCAACTGGTGGATTCGAACCACCTGGCTTTGAGTTGGCAGTGCACATCTTTACAACTAAGCCATCAGAGCTCTCTTTAAGCACCAGAGAACTACAGCACATAGAATGTTTTCAATCACTTTTCAGAGTATTAAAAAATCATTTTCCCTGGCTCTAGTTTTAAGTTACATTACAGATAGTTGTGCTGGAGTCCAGCTTGGAAGTCGTCTGCAACAGCTGGGTTCTACAGAGGCTTGTTTGCTGGTTCTGGTGAGGAGTAGGGTGGAATGCTGACTCACCAATGGGTGTGAGATGATGCGATTCAGCCTCCTATTTTTGGTCAAACATTCTTCTAAATGGTGTATCCCTGGTCTGTCCATTTGCTGTACTGAGGTAACTCGTGGTTGCTGTGATGCTGAACCCTGAACTCCAAAATTTCTGAAAATGTTCACTAAAATTAATAAGATAAAATAAGGAACAAAAAAAATCACTCAAAGACTATAACCATTTCTATTTTAAAATATCTCAGTACTAAAGCTGGTCAGAAGTGTTGTGTGGGTTTTTTTTTAATACTTCCCTATTGTTGTTGTTGACTGCCTTCGAGTGGAGCATGACTCACAGTGACCCTATGAACAAAAGGCCTGGAGCCCCTCTACAGCTGTCAACATTTATCAAAGTTCATAGAGTGTCCAGAGGCACATTATTTAGGAAGTGGATGCCACTTCTGCTTCCAACTTGCTTACTGTGAATTCCTAATTGTTCATATAGAAGTGAAAAATATTTGTTCCATGATATTTTAAGGTTGAGAAATATAAGTCTTATTTTAGTTTGTTTGCCCTCTTGGGATAACTTTAACTAAAACTGCTCATACTCCTAGGATCTGCTGGTTAGAGAGGTGGAACAAAGAATTAGGCAGGTGGATCTGTCCCTACCTAGTTAGCTTGCTGGTTAGTTGTTGAATATTCCTAGTTTACTTTCATCTCATCGTTTCTGCTCTCCATTTCAATTATTTCCTTTCGCAAACTCATTCCTATTAGCCAGGGCCAGCTGGACAATGACAAAAGACTATTTTTTCCAAGACTGGCTTCATTAACGAGAAGACATTAATCAATCTCCAGATAGACGATGAACTATTTTTTTTTAAATAAAATCAGGTGATTATTTATGTTACTAGGTTTTGTTTCTTTTCTTTCCCCCCCCTAAATCTCATTAGCAACTGCTGGCATTAACAATCAAGTTTGCCTCTGGAATCCCTATGTCGTCTCCAAGCCAGCTGCAGTTCTTTGGGGTCATTCTGCCAGTGTCATAGCTGTCCAGTTCTTTGCTAAAAGAAAACAACTCTTCAGCTTCTCCAAAGATAAAGTAAGTAACACTGCGCCTTTCCCCCTTGTTTTTCCTTTAGTTCCTACTCAGACCTACCTTGGGTCTTGAATTTCCCTGAGAGGCATATGTTTAAAATGGTTGTTGTTGCTTATATTTAAAATATTCTCTGGAAATATATATTTGGGAAAGCCATTGATGGAGGAACTCTTAACAATACTTTTGAATAAATAGGCAGTATATTACATTAAAAATTTTTAAGCCATATATTCTTAAATTTATTACTGTGTTTTTTATTCATTTTTAAATAAATTTGTTATTATTGTGTTTTAATATGCGCTATCTTGTTTCTAAAGTTTTCACTCTTACAGTTGGAAATACATTGAGTTGGGAATGAGGAAATATTGATTTGGTAAGATATTGAATAGGCACAACTAGTTGGCTATTTTTGCTACCATGTTGATGAGATTCACTTCATATTAGAAATCAAAGTTAATCTGAATAATATTTTAAAAAATGGTAAGCATATTTAAATGAAAAACATTGAAATAAGCACCAGCCCATTTCTATTTCATCATACTGATATAGTAAAAAGGACATGGAACCTGACAGACCAACTTAAATCCTTATTAAATACTTATGTTTATTTATACACTTTTTAAAACATCTTCTAGGAATCTCGTCTTTATTCTCTGTAAAATGTATACTTTGGTATTCTAGAAGGAGATGATTTTATGGACCATTGTGAAGGCTGATGATATGATTATTAAATAACATTTTACATGATTCCTCACTAAATTCCTTGGCCTCACTGTACTCATAAACCTGATTCTTTTACAGTATTATCTGTCCTCTCTGGTGGCATATTGGTAAGTTCTGTACGGCCAACCCAAAGGCATGGAGTTCTTATCCACCAGCCATTTCATGGGAAAATGATGACTAATCTCTCATGTGATTCACTGTCTCTGAAAACCTGCTGTAAGTTGGTCAGCTCTAAGTTGCTTTTGACTGGAAAGTACACCACAACAAACACCTCATCATGAAAACTTCCCTTTTTCTTAAACTTCATCAGTTAACTGCCCATTCCTGTTTGTTTTTACCACCTCAATGTGTTTATGAATTTCAGCCTCTTCATCTAAGGTGCTATTGTCTTAATGGAAAAAAAAATTTGTTTTGTCCAAATTACTGTGAAGGTTCTTGCAAGCCCTTTCATCTTTCAGAATGGCTTAACTTCAATTAATTTTCTCTTCTGCTAACAGAATTGCTAACTTATTAGCAGAATTCATCAATATGACTGATTTCTACACATACCAACTCTAAAATGCTCTTTACCAATCCCATCAAGCTTTCTTCTTTTCTCCATTGTTCATTTAGTGCTCTGGCTTTATTGACTAAAAAAAATCATGCTTTTATGGCTTTGCAACCTGCCCTTCTCTTTGCCTTCAAGTCAATCTCCTCCAAAGTCAGTAAATGCTCTCATGGCTTAATGGCAAGGAGCTGTACTGCCAACCCAAATGCATGTGGTTCAATTCCACCAGCTGCTTCATGGGAGAAAGGTGACCAATAAACTCCTGTGTGTTTACTGCTTGACTTTGAAAACCCACTGGAGGGTCAGCTATGAGAGGATTCTGAGGGAATATGGCAACAACAATTAACCAGATCTCTGTCTTTTTTAACTTTTCATACAGATCTGGGTGGGTATTTCTTTCCTCGGACATTTCTTTCACCTACTGCATATGGAATGACATCCACTTCCTAAACCACGTGTCTCTGGAAACTCTATGAACTTGGAGAAACGATGATAGTTATAAAAAAGTTCTTTTAATTATCTCAGTCACAAAAGGACGGCATAGGGCCACTGTTGTAAAAAGGAACTTACATCAGGGTTGAGGGAAGACAGAAAAGGAGGAGAGGAATGATGTATATTGCCTTGAAACAGACAAGGAAAAGAACTGTTTAAAAGGGATATATGAATGGGTATGATTGTCATTATAGAAGTCCAGAGTGAAGGCTGCATAGTACAGTGGACTTGGGGGGAGGGGTTTCATAACAATGAAAGAGTCTTTATAAAGCATACATACAGCACCAATGTTATATGTTTATTATAAGAGTTATCCTGAAAGGTTTCATAATTTTAAAAACATGTGGGAAAATGTCCTCCAAGTTAGACTTGATTGTATACAACTATCATCAAAGTTAAGACTATTGGCCTCTTCTAAAAGACATGTTTTATTAGTCTATTTTTTGCTTTGAGTTCTAAGTCCTTACATTGTAAGAAGGCTTGTCATGTTGTCTTTTATGTTAGTCTAAATCCATTGCTCTCTGATAAACACATGATAATCTCAGCCTTTATGTCTTTGTAACAAACAACGGGCCTCTCTGTTAGGAGGTTAAACCTTTGCTTTATTGCCAGAAAATTCTGTTAGATAATTTATAGGTCTGGGGCTTAGTTAGAGAATCAGAAAACTGAAAGACAACATCAGGTTTTAAAACAACCTTTGATTGAACCATATTTTGGTCATTGGGTTTTAGTAAGCTGGAGGATTTGAAGACCAAAGCAATTTAGATCTAAATAATTGTCTCCCAAAACTATCAGAAAGCACTTTTTCAGGTATGAATCAACAATAAATTCATGCCTATAGGATTTGATATTGTACGAAATAAAGGTCCAAGTGCAGTTTACTTTGGCCTCCTACATTATTTCTCCTAAAATGACAGTCACTGCTGGCAAGGAGCTGCAAGGAACCAAGGAGTCAGTCATTTGGAAGCAGAATCACCACAGGGAGTAAAAAAGATGCTCAAAGCTGGAGAAATCTCTCTGCTGGGAGCTAACATTCCAACCATTGAATTGGAATTGGTTTCTCTATTGCTTCCCACTCTCTTCCGGTGAGTTACTCGTCTTAATTTGCCACCAGAATCAGATCAGCACAGATCAGTATTTCTAACATAATCCTTATTTGCACGAGACTGTGAATTTACCAAAACGTGACTTCTGTATTATAGATCCAAATCTGATAAGGAAAAATACACCAGACGTTTATGTTGATAATTGCACGTATCATCTGTCTGTCTTCCTTCTTTCTCTCCCCCTTTTTTTTGGTTGTTATTGTTTTATTATTATTATTAATTTTAATGAAAATTTACAGAGACTTTGGATTTCCATTAATTCGTTGTCGCACTTTTCTCCCTGCCCACCCCTCCTCCCCAGTTTATTCTTCTCTTTGAAAAGTAAAAGAAAAATTCTTTCATAGTTATACAATCACTCCCCACCAAGTTCATGCAGCCTTTGTTTTGGACTCCTGTTATGATAATAATACCTAATCATATATCCCTTTTAAACAGTTTTCTCCCTCAGTATACATTATTTATCCCATCTTTCTCATTCTCCCCCGAGCCCCAATATCAGTCTCGTTTTACAACAGTGGCACTATGCAACGTAAGCCCTTTTTAGACTGGGGCATTTCACTCATCATAATGTCCTCCAGGGTCACCCCTTTTGAATAATATTGCATGAGTTCCTTGTTCCACAGCTTCTCTATCCATTCCTTTGTTGATGGGCACGTGCCTTGTTTCCATCTCTTTGCTATTGTGAACAAAG